AACCCCAAACGAAACCTCCTCGACCCTATCCCTTGATGAGGCCCAGACGACAGCTATAGAGGCGATCTCCGCGCCCTAGTGTGAGTGCGGCTGTGGGGACGCGCACTTGTACGCGCATGTGTGCGCGCGTGTATGTGTGAGTGAGCGTGTGACAACAGAGCGTCGCGTGAGTGAGTGAGAGAGACAGACGCTCTAGAACGCGCACGGTGTGAGCCCTTGCCCAGGCCCGACTGAACGCACACGTAGAGTGCGACGACTTTGTGCACCCATCGTCTCTTCGTTGTTCACATGCCCAGTGGGAATGTGGTGAGCAGTGTCTCTCTGCTTTTTTAAATTGTCGCTCGGACGTGTAATAAACAAAAAAAGGATATATTACGGTTTACTATTGAAGTGCAAACAGTGCATTTGGACGCTTCAATTTTGGTATACAGTTTGAAAACATTCATTAAGATTTCTGACTAACTTTCAGTTAGTGGAAACGGCTTGTTTACTGTTTACTGTGTACTTTATTCTCCAGTGTGGTATATGTGTAAGGCTATTGGAGGGTGGTGGAGTACGGTTCGGAGATTTTTTGGTGGACTTTGTTGATATTTCAGGTCAACCTTTCTGTATGTTTTCTTGAGGCTTTGGCGCTTCACAATACAATTGCAGGTAAGATTAGTCAGGGAAACTTACCCATTCAAACATACTGAGTTATTGGTTTAGTTCTGAAGTTTTGAATATGATGTTAAGCCTGTATTTATAATCTAATGCACGTGCACGCCCCTGTGTGTGTTTGTGTGTGTGGAGGGGGTGTGTATGTGCGTGTGTGTGTGTGTGTGTGTGTGTGTGTGTGTGTGTGTGTGTATGTGTGTGTTTGAGAGAGAGAGAGAGAGAGAGAGAGAGAGAGAGAGAGAGAGAGAGAGAGAGAGAGAGAGAGAGAGAGAGGGAGAGAGAGAAGTGTGCCTGTGTGTATGTGTATGTGCAAATGTGTGTGGGTGTGTTTGCGTGAGTGTGCTTGTGTGTGTATATTTCTTTGGGGTTTTTTTTAGTCTGTGTGTGTGCGCGCAAATTTGTATATCCCCGGATGTGAACAATTCAATTTAAAACGTATTTGTGCAATTAAGACCCTGTTACAGTAGTGTGTATCTCGCTTGTTTATGTTGTTTTTGTCAGTATAACCCCTATGGCCACAGATGTCGTTCTGTATATAAATTAAAAGGATGTGAAAGCACCCTCCCCCCCTCCTTTTCGTCTCTGCAATTTATGATAATTGATTATGTGAACACGAAAGTGAAATCTGCTGAACTTGAATAATATTGTCAATATGAACAAGTGTAGTTGGTTAGCCGATGCCCTGGTGTGATTTAATTTGTTTGTTTTTTTCTTTCCTTCTCTCTCCTCCTTCGTTTCTTTGTATGTTAATTTTCAGTAATGCCTCTAATCTTCATAATTCACACGACATTTTTGTGTTGAAGATGCCGCCAAAGTCTTATTTCTACAAAACGTCTTATTTTTAAAAAACTCAATATAAGTCTTGAAGTGTTTTCACCAACAAGAAGACGTTGCAATTCCGAATTTTTAGTTTTCTGATATGATAGCTTTATCATTTTTTTTTTTTGCTTCCGAAAATGGAATCAGTCTGCAGTGCTCTCTTTCGCTATTCCATGTTAATCAACATCTGAGGTGTAATTGTTACGGTCTTTCCCAAAACCATATATGATAAAGTTTCGATTCTGAAGTGGAGAATATTTTAAAATCTTTATTGAATACAGATAAACCTGCTTCAACGGTCACCTGTTCAAGACAACGATCAGTATAAACGGCCGCTTCTCGCTCTTTCTTTCTTTTTTGGTCTGTAGTTTAATGACATTGATCAGGAGAACTACTCGTCTAAATTGACCACTGACTTTTCTCCTCCACAGTGGGAGGCCGTCTAGGACTATATTGACTGTACATGTATTTCTATTCGTCCTGTGTGATGTAGTTTTTCCTCAAAACCCAGCTTGGCCCTCTGTGACAGGACGGATCGAAGTGATCCTACTACTAAAATGATCGAAATTGTGTTGATTGGTCCTTAAAACGTTTGCCGTTATACTTCGTGCTTTACGTTGTGGTTTTTTGTCTTCTATTCTTTTAAACCAGACAATGCTGTTAACCCAAATTGAAATAAAAACAAATTCCCTCAGAAACATAAGCAAGAACTTGCAGAAGCTGTTGGGAAAAAATGTCTTGACCAGTGCTTGCCCACTTTGGTGTACAACACCCTTTAGTGGACGATTTAGTCATGTTGATGGGTACTGTGGATCACTCAGGTAGTGACAGGTATTATTTAATACACAGCTTGAAATACATGTAGGTACGGCAATTCTAACCTCTTAAATGAGGCAAAAGTGGATGCACGCCATACAAAGGTTGATGAGCACTTTGCTACCTCAGAATTAAACATTTCTGTTTGAAGATTTTGGCTTTTTTGAGTCATTAAGACCATGAGGTCTGGAACCAAACATTCCATTTGCTCTATCAAAATCGATAGCTTATTTGGAGTCATTATCAAACTATTCAAAGAATTGCATTCGAAAAGCCCATCAAGTTGTGGAACCCAACATTGTGACGTAAAATTTCTCAAACCTATAATATACTGAGAAGATGGAACTTGAAAGTTCTAGAGTAGTGACTTCTCTAGACAATAATATCATAATAGTTTATTACAGCATATTCAGGGGGAAAGTGCAACATTTCCACGGTGTTTGTGCTATATCTTTATAAGATTCTGCTCCGGCACACTCGTGGGATGTGAACTTTTCCATCTCCTAACTCCATTGTGGACTTCCTTTACTTCTTTTTGCATTTCTGACCTTTCAAATTCCACCCCTTTACTCTTTTCTGAAATGACTTTTAAAAAATTTTTTGTAACAGGCAGATTTACACATAGGACTCAGAACAACTTCCACTTGCCAAGAGAACCGATGAGCTATCTGAATGTGAATAGTTACTACGACCAGCGTCTTTCTCTCTTCCCTCCGTCTGTCTGTCTGTCTGTCTGTCTGTCTGTCTGTCTGTCTGTCTGTCTGTCTGTCTGTCTGTCTGTCTGTCTGTCTGTCTGTCTGTCTT